AGTTTCCCCGTATACAGACACAGGCATGATTACGAATTAATAGTGGTCGTGAGAATTATTCGTGTCAAGTATGTGAAATTAGCGTGTTAACGCCGAATTAAAGCGCGGTAGCTTGGTTAAAAAGGCATTTTTAAAACGTGATAACCTGCATAGAGGGCGAATTGAGTTGAACGAATTTTAGCGTCGTTACGACTAAAATACGCTCCTCTGGCAGCTGTTTCAAACTGTGCAGTTCCGCGTTTGAATACACGAGAAGGGAGGACAAATTGCATGCATGTTATGAGGAGAAGAATAACAGGAGAAACGGTTTTTCAATGAGTTATGCGCGGTGATTCCCTAGTAGGATACCCAAAGATGGCGCCAGTAGACACACCTCGTGGCGGGAAATTCAAATATATTGGACAATCGATCCCAACCTTAAATAACTTAATAGATTAATATCTTTTTCTAGAACAGAGATGGTTACGCAAATATTGTTTAGATATATATTGCATATATGTTGTTTGAAGCAGTAGACAAATTTAATATATTATTAACAAATTTATTATATTTCAATGAGTTATGCGCGGTGATTCCCTAGTAGGATACCCAAAGATGGCGCTAGTAGAGACACCCTGTGGCGGGAAATTCAAATATATTTGACAATCGATCCCAACCTTAAATAACTTAATAGATTAATATCTTTTTCTAGAATAGAGATGGTTACACAAATATTGTTTAGATATATATTGCATATATATTATTTGAAGCAGTAGACAAATTTAATATATTATTAACAATTTTATTACATTTCAATGAGTTATGCGCGGTGATTCTCGAGTAGGATATTCAAAGATGGCGCTACTAGAGGCACCCCGTGGCGGGAAATTCAAGTATATTTGATCTGACAATCGATCTGAACCTTAAATAACTTAATAGATTAATATCTTTTTCTAAAATAGAGATGGTTACATAAATATTATATAGATATATATTGTTTGAAGAATTAGACAAATTTAATATATTATTAAGAAATTTATTATATTAACAAATTTAATAACCTAACCTTATCTCCCAAACAGAGTATTACTTCTATACTAATTAATTAATTAAAAATTTTGGAAACCTGTATTTATTTATTTATACGTTCGAAATAATATATCATATCTCTATAGCAAGCGACATGATGGAAATATATATATATGTATATCTTTTTTTGTCGAAATACAAATTACGTACGCATTTTAATAAAAGTTAACGTTAATTTTTCCAAAATCAGCTGCAAAACGTAGAAGTTCTGAAATAGGTCATTTCAACTAGTTTGGTAAGCGTATTTTAGCAGTTTATATAACCACGATGTGCATGCTCTGGTTTTTGCAATATTCGAGTTGCTTGAAATAAATGAAAACTTTTCTCATTATCGACTGTGTAATAAATTGTTTATTAAACCCCGAATCGAATAAGGGAAATCCAATTTTCTGAGAATCGTGTGCCCTGTTTCTGCATTTTTACAATATATTGTGCAATTTGCGGTTTTATAACGTAATTTACGTTGATTTAAGTATACTTTAGTTAAACTGTGAGTCTCGCGATTGTTGAGCTGTGTAATGAGTATTTCGCTTTACCGCTTGCAAAGTAAAATGAGAACGTTCAACTCGTTTGTTTCGAAATCCCAAAAGCTTTTGAAATATTAATTATAATAATTGAATTTCACGGTAACTCGTTCTTCCGGGGGGAAATATTAATTATATTAACTGCATCGACAAATTTTTCATTTATTTATCATTCTTTTTGTAAACCGAAATTTTCAAAATTCATACGTGCTTTTTAACGCATAATGCTCATATTTAATGAACTATACTCTATTTAATATATATAATAATTACATAGTACAGTGGTATATTCGATATATAATATTGTTAAATATTTACTATTATATTGTACTGGTATATTTACTGTATAGTGCAGTACTATCCTTGTTACATAGTATACTGCTACATTTAAATGTAATACAGTATTATACATGTATAGTTAAATATATTAGGTGTACCGGAAAGTTCTGTCCGTTAATGTCACCTGAAGTTTTGTCGAATTCACTATACTTTCCAGACTTAATACCTAATTCCATCATCCTGGAAAGTGGTCATAAGTAACGGTGAAGATGATATTGTTAGATAAATATAAATAAATTTGTTGAAAATGTATTATTTTCTTTTACTTCAAAAACGGACAGAACTTTTTGGTAAACCTAATATATGTATCTTATCATTGTGTCACTATCATCCTTTATCATCTCGTTCGTTAATTGATTGGAATAGTAAAACACAAAATGTACATACTTTCACATAAGTCTGTTTAATGTCTACTTTCGCTTCGGCTTACTCCTATACACTTGGATTAGCAACCATCTTTGCACTTCTTAAGCAACGGAGTGGAAAGACAGCTCACTAGGTTTCAGGATTAGATCGAATTCCTTCAAGTGCCATTAAGCTCATCACGCATGAAGCAAGTGCGTTTATGTTTCGAACAAAATCATGAATGAAACTCACTTTTTGTAAATTTAGCCGACTACTCGTTTCTATAAACCGCTATAAATCGTATGCAACGCGAAATCGTGTACTTGCACGATCGTTATACTGTTTAGAAGGATACAAAATACTGCTTAAATGAATTTTATAGTTATTAACAAAGGTATTTCAAAGAGTTACATTCGCTAAACGTTCGAAGCTAGAACATTGCGTAATATAACCTGGCGTTTAATATTGAATTCGTTTACCAGAATTGCGAAATACATCGTTAATTACTTCGAGTGGAATATTGTCATGGAAAATTGTTTCACTTTTTCACGCGAAATCTCAATGATTGGTCGCAATGTTAAATTCGCGTCAGACCACACATTCGAACTGTATTTATTTTTGCCGCACTTCGAAACATAACCTATTTGGTATCATTCGCGATTAATTTCGCGTGCCTGGCACGCTTTCGACATAATTTTGCACTCGAAGAGTCAATTCGTTCCAATTTCCTTCCCGTAATTAATAAATAAAACGAGCACCGTAATATTCGTACCCCGAAACCAGATTCTGCCAAACTGAAACGTCGCGTAGTACCGAGTATCGCCACAGCGGCGCTGCTAACGAAGTTTAATTTAATTGATAAAAATTTGCCAATTTATTTCTCTGCTCGTACAAATGGAACAATGCTTACTGGAAATGTTTCAGATTTCGATTTCACTGGTATGTAGGTCAGGAACTGAGTTGTGCAACTACTTTATGTTACTATGCATGGATACATAACCTATACGAGACATTCAAATCCACGCTCAAGGGTTAATAGAAAAACATTATTCGCGTGACAGACTTTATTCTCTACCTCTATAAACTTGTCTCCTTTTCACCATATAAACGATCCTGATTTTAACCTCCGTAAATTTTCTTCGTTTCCCATAAAATTCTAAAACGTAAAGTTACGTTCGTCGGGAGAAAGGGAGTTCCGCGAGGAACAGAATTCCTCAATTTATGACGTGACCTAGACGGATCGAGCATTTGATATCGCGTTGTAATATCTTGCAATATCAACCTCCACGGTGTATTCATACGTAACATCTAGGACACGTTAAACATGTAGATATTGCAATGTCAGTGGTTGTTTGAATATTCCCTCCTTTTCTCTTTTTTTTTGTTCCTTTCTGTGCGATGTTGTCATAAATTTTTGCCGTGCACGATACGCTAGTTAATATTTCACATTCAACAAACATTGTGGAATTTTTTCATGATATTACATGCTTTCAATGGTACAAACGATATTAAAATTCGCGTGTAAATAAAATCGTCGAAAGAAAACTAATTGCAATTTGTTGTATGCCGAATTTTACTTCTGAAATCGTTCGGAAAACATAAAGTTTGAAACCGAAATATAATTAAATATACAATTTAATTATTCGTTTGAAATTTTCAAAATAGGGAAAAATAAGATTTAAAATTAAATTTAAGAATTAGGTAATGTATTCTTCGCGATTTGAAATTCACAAAATAGGAAAAATTGGATAATACTTGAAATTTGGTAATGAGAATTATATTTAGAAATTATAGGTTATATTTTTCCCGCTATTTCTACGTTTACGACAAAATTGGCGCAGCGGTAACACGTTTCAAGGGAAAATAAATAATCCTGTAATGGCATAGTACTTTTCGCGAAACACTAATATTATTGCGGTATAATAAGAGCAATGCCGAGCGATTCGAAATTTTCGGACACTGTACCGATAACTACGCGGTGTTCTCTGTGGACACATAAATTAGAAGATACATAGATGGCATCTGCGCGGTAAAGTCGCGGCGCTTCCTTTTGTCGCGTGCAGCGGCGCTGCAGTCGCGAAGGAAAGCTGGCTAATATAAATTCATGTTGTGTCCTGGAAAATTACTAGCGATATCAAGCTGAAGGGACTATTGCCAGGTCAGCCACCATGGGACACTTTGTCTCGTTAACGTGACCGTGGGTTTAGCGACAAATGCGAAATAATTCGAACAAAAATTCCCATGGTGTTCGACTTGGCGTTTTTCACTCTCCGACAAATTTATTCGCTGCATCCTTCTCTCCAATCAGTTATTATCGCGTTCCCTGTTCTCGCGAAGAAACCGTTGACTTTGAAAGACACTGGCGAATCACGCTTCTACGTGGTTCGTGGATAACGGGAAAATAGAGAGCGCGAATACGAAAATTGCACACCAGTTTTATCATAACAACCGAATAACTTCCACCAACTCATCCGAAGAGAATGAATAGCCAGCCTGAAACGGCAGAGGGCGTTGATGCGCTAACAAGTTACAAGAACTTTAGATCTATGACGAATGCGGCCTTACGTAATGAAGAAAGTTCGAAAAGGAGAGGAATAAAATCCATGCCGAAAATTTACTTCGTAAAATTATTCAACGACTCGCATAATTCCGCGAGTTTCACGACGAATACGTTAACCGAGTTAGACGGTTCTTCTCAAAGCAGCGTTCATTTTTCTGTTGCAGCTCGTCGATTGAACGAATATATCCGCCATTACGAACCTCTCTCTTATCCCACCGAGGAGGTCCACCGAGGTCACTTGAGGGCCAAGAGGTCGGTCACCCGCGACAATTTCGTGACTCTGAAGTTTCGTTCCCACGGCAAAGACTTCCACATTCGACTGAAGCGCGATCTGGCCATCTTTACCAATAACTTAATTATCGAAGGCCCCGCCGGACAAACGGAGGACCTCGATACCTCGCATATTTACCAGGGCCACTTAGTCGGTAAGTCGATCTTTCGTTGAAATTTTTATCACGAACGTTTGCCAAATTGATTAACTCCATAAAATATAAAATGGAAGTTTAATATCAACCGGGTGCTTTGACGTTGAAATTAAAAAATCGTTACAAAGGAGTTAATCATTTTGGATTGTGAATAAATCGTATATTTAAATATAATATTTACCAGATTTCATTTTAATGCACGTTATTGACAAGTCAAAATATATATTGCATTAAAAAATGCGTTTAATACACGGTTCGTGTACGCTTCTGTGATCTGATTTTATGTGAAATTATGGTAGTATGATTATTTTGTGAAATTGGTTTAGTTTAGCAATGAAATTGGAAACTGCAAAAATTGAACGTTTTTAGTCCCCCATATCTGTTTGAAAAATATTACGTAATATTCTCAAATATTAAATTTGACAAAACCATTTTCCTTTTTGAAAAATTGGAGAATATTTCTCTAATCTTGCGAAAGAAAAATCGTAATTCAACGAAACAGTGATATTTAATTTTAACCCTTTGCGTTCGACGATTTTTTTACTAAAGAAGGGTATGAGTTGAAAAATTTTGTTAGCAGTAAATAAGAAATCGTATAACAATTAACACGTAGAATTATTTAATTCCGATACCTCGAACACTGTTATATTATTTTAAATTTGATATATTAATTAATATCGAGCTTCGAAATTTGATCAAATGGCGTCTGAAAGGCGCCTCTCGAGTGCAAAGGGTTAATAATAAAGTTTGGTTAGGTTCAGTACACGTGTACTTATCTTCATACAGGTAAAAAGCTTTATTTTTCTTGCACTTGCAAGAAAAATTAGAATAATTGAAATTAACAAAGGAATTTCATGTGATGCATGTACTATTATCCAAGTAACAAAATTTTAAGAATGTGATAATAAATTTTAGTTAGGTTCGGTTTGGGTTAGGTTAGGTTTTTGCACTTGCAAGAAAAGGTTAAATAAACGAAGTTAATAAAGGAATTTCATATGGATTAAAATATTTGATTCATTTAGAAGGTAATATAAAATTTTTAGATTTATAATAAATCCTAATGGACCTTTAATTAAAAAATATGAATAAACAAAATTATATAATTACGTTTATTTGTTCCTATAAGATTTGGTGATCCTCCTGTGACAAAATGTAAGTAATTTAGTTACTTTTAGTGAAAATAAGTCGATGTTTATCGAAATAAAAATACTCCTCGGTGTATGAATTGCCGGATAAATAACTTAAATTTCTAATTTGTTAATTCCGCAAGGAAACTCGAAATTCAACTTTTCCCTATAAATTTACGGAAAATCAAACATGTTTCTGAAAAATATGACTGTAACATAATCACGAAACGAATGTGCTTTACCAAACAATTATTCCGTTGAGCAACTTCCATTCTCGTTGGCAAACATTATTTAGCAAATAATCGATATCGCGAATCTCGTGTAAGCTTCCACAACGTTCGGAATTCGATCCGAGCAGCCGTAGATCTCACGAGCTCCCCTACCAAAACGCAGTTCCCGGTGAAAGGGTTATCGAACCGGGCACGAAAATTACGAAGACGCGTATGTAAGGTCAAGGCACGGCGTGAAAGACTGTGGCCTACGCGAGAGGAATGAAGCAGCTAGTTTACTCGTTATAAAATACGATGCAACACGAAAAATGGTCTAAACTGTCGTGCGCTTCCTATAGCATAAATCACGACCTCTTGGCTCCTCGCGCGTGCACAGTGCTGCACTCTACGAACGAGTCGGTACCGTTTCACGGTATAGTCCGCGCGTTACGTCCGCTGTTAAGAGCCAGGCCGCGATACCAGGTGTGGCACGCAAAAGTGCGTGTAGATACTAGGTGAGACCTTTATTTCCAGTCTAATAATTTACGGTAGTTCGTGCGCAGGGAGACATTTTAAATTATGGATTGGCTCGCGGCCGCCCTGTTGGAACGGTTTATCTTTCACTTTTGTGCTTGCGACCCCCGGCGACCTGGTTACGTCTACGTGTTTACCGCGGTCCGGAAGGGAAAAGCCCAATCTCTTATTTCGATTCTTAAAGCCGGGAAAGGGGGGAAAGGGGAGTTTTAAAAGTCGCTGACATTGAGCGACACTCGGCCGCGATTTTATTCCATTTTATAACTGGGGATGGGGAAAAATAAGTTGGTCGGGATCTATTAATTTTTTTCTTTATTCTTCTTTCGAGGAGTGTGTGAAGTTGTTTGTTCTCGGTCTGCGTGGATATTGCGGAATTAAATGTAGGTATAGCAGGTATAGGTGTGACGGTGAGCTTTATTTCTCGTGGAAGGAGAGAATAAGAATTTGTTGAAAATGTGTGTTTATAAATTTACAAAGATGAAAATATATACAGAAAACTGGAAAAATATCTGATATTTAATTGCAATGTTGTTAGTCGAATTGTAATTTGTTTATGTTTACAATAATTTTATATAATAATAATTTAATTTAATTTTTAATAATTTTATATAATATATAATGGGATAGTATTAGGTACGATTTTATTTTGGAATATTGGCCCGATTTTTGTAATTTATATTTTTCTTTTGGTATTAATTTGTTTGTTATTTTCATTTATATAATTGGATTCGGTTAATTATTTATCCTAATGTCATAAATTTTTGTTTCTTTTTATAGTTGCAATACAAGTGTTAAATTATTTTTGTAATGATCTTCGTTATTAATACTGTGTAGAATCATTCAGAGTTCTGGTTTTCCCTTGAATTCAATGTTCCCTATTTTATTATTCTATTAAGAAAGACAGAGGATAATTTGGTAATCGAAATTACACAGAGTACACAGAATTGCTTAACCAACTTTTCAACTTTTTCAGCATAGTTTTCACTTTATTTACTCTCGAATTGCTTCAACCAGTCTGCTATTAATTCATGCCTCGTTCGCCTGCCGAGTTAATACGTGTTTTTCAAATTGTGAAAATTGTACGGACTGTTTTCTAGCAATTATGAAAGCTTATAATGCATGTTTTGCTCCATGCCTGTGAATTTACATTGTTCGTATATTGTTATTATCGTTAATAATATCGGGTCCGTGCTTTCTCTTCGATAGTACGATTTTCTTCGTTAACAATTTTGAAGCCATTTTGAACCATTGTTTTATGTTTAAATAAATTTGGATATATTTTTTCTTTTTTTCCAAATTTTCCTTTCACGAGGTGAACACAAATAACATCATTCGCGCATTTCGAAATCGCTTTTAACAAAGAGAGTTATGTATCGACGATAAATTTTCTTTAGTAACCAATGTATCTTATGTTGTGTAGTATACGTTGCTTCTTTATTTCATATTTTTGATAATAAATGGATCACTGTGATGATAATTTTATATCACGTAACTGTGTTTATTAAATAATTATTATTTGCACTTGTCGTATTTTCGTGTTTATAAAATGTATAGAGAAATCACTATTATTTTCAAAAATAATTTATTAATAAAATATGTTTTAAAATGGAATCATATTTTCCATTTCAATTCTTCAGCTATGATAATAATTTTGTATCAGGTAACTGTGTTTATTAAATAATTATTATTTGCACTTTTCGTATTTTCCTGTTTATAAAATGTATAGAAGAATCACTATTATTTTAAAAAATAATTTATTAATAAAATATGTCTTGAAATGGAAACATATTTTCCATTTCAGTTCATGCATGCAAAGTCAATGTATTTGACATTAGGTATTATGTGGTCGTTTTTCTAGACGCACAGGGTGGTATAGTTAATTTCTTCATTCCAAGACTGGCATGAAACGCCGGTCTTATATCATTCTTGCATGTGCCATATCACATCTAGCGTTCTATGCAGTCATCCAAGATTTATAATCTGCTGTGAGATACAATTCTCAAAGAAATTGAAGATAACATGTTAGAGCTGTTAGAACTGCGTGAACTATACAGTTCCTGCCATATCTTCTCAGCCTTTCCTGTCACGATTTATTTATAGTGATCGTACCCATACGCGCAATTTAGACCTCCCTTAGTACTTCATACATCACGGTCATTAAAAACGCACTTCAACTCGTATTTAGTACATTTCATTGAGAATAAATGGCGAAATAATGTGGAGAATATTGTTATTAGAATGAGAGAGAAAGAGTAACTATCGTTAACACCAAATTTGCTAACAATTTATATGTATATTATAATTTATAATTTGTATTGTATCGGATAAATGACCAGTGTGCAAATAAAGTATATATTTTTTTACAATTAGATGCAAATGATAATCAATATAGTGCAAGCAATAATACAGAAAATAAAGGAATTTTTAAATAACGACAAGTGACATTACTCCTTTTCATTTGAATTTTAAACAAAAATGGATTGTATAACTGTGAAGACTGAAAAATATATCGGATATCTTTTTCTTAATTACCATATTTCATAGAGAGATAGAAAAAGTGACTATATATATTAAATGATTTATTTTTTTTAAAAAAACTTGGAAGTATTTCTGAATTATTCAATTTATTAAATATTATCTAATTCTTTATATAAATAACAATTGGGTAATTCAGGAATACATATATTTATTACTCATTCCCCCATTGTCATGAAAAATAGAAATATAAAATGAACAGGAAAAATATGAACCAGTATTTGCAATACATATGTTACTTCAAACCAATATAATGAAATTACAAGAATCTAATAATACATAAATAAAACAGGATTTAAAATCTGTTGTATAAACACACACATTTGTCACGTGACCTTCAATGTTAAAAGCCTAACATTGAAACTTATTGTCGGTGAAGTAAACGAATTTTCGAATTAGTCCCTCCGCAATTTTTCTGCTACATCCCTACAATTGCCAATCATCGTTAAATATGACCCATCCTATTTCTAGGTGAGCCTGGCAGTCACGTGTATGGAAGCATAAGCGACGGTGTTTTCCACGGAAAAATCATTTCACCTCGCGATGGCGCGTGGTACGTGGAAAAGGCGCACTATTACTTTCCGCCTCACGAGATAAATGACACGTTACATTCTGTCATCTATCACGAAAATGACGTCGGCGACCCGTACGCCCATCTTCGAAAAGGTATGTCGAATCATTTATTTCGTTTCTCCATTTTCTCTCCGTTTTTTTACTGCGAACAGCAGCATAACGAAAGTCTAACGAAAATGCCTGTAAACATAGAACAAAGCCGGTTATGTCATTGCAATTAATGCACTCGAAATCGTTCGGTGCATTATTCGTGATAGCGAAACACTATAATTAATTTTAATCGCGCAGCTGCGTGTTTCCACGGTAGGCTGAAACTGCAGTTTCACGTATTAGTCGCGATAAAACATGAATACCTTTCGCCGGTATAAAAAAGGTCTATGCGCTTGCGTGCTCGCAGAGCTTGGCAAAATTGGTGAAATGGCAAATCCATTTGCGAAAATGGACAAACGTATTGCAATGAGATCTAAAAGGAAGAAGTGACGGTACTCGATCATGCCACGTGATTTAATGGCAGGGTGATAGTATGCCCAAAGAGGAATGATTCAAGTGTGATACGATAATGCTAACTCTATTTTGTTAACACGTATTAGCGCAAGAATTAAAAGAGATCTTCGAAATAGAAGCATAAAGTACAAATTCGAAATTATAACATTGCATTGTTAGCTCAGTGTTCCTTATTCTCTGCTTGGATGATATGTCCTTGACTACTGTACTTGATTACTGGCATTGATAAATTTTTTGATATTTAAAAACAGAGAGAAATATTTCTACAAGAAAAAAGATAAATATTTTTAGAGTTGTATGTTCATCTTAGTTGATTATGTTTATTTTTGGTTAAAATTGTAATGATATAGGTTAATTGATTCGTTGGTATTGCTAATTCTGTTTTGGTTAGAGGTTATGTTATTGTTTGGTGGACACAGTATGGCTGACCAGGTAGGTTAAGATGGCGCGCGAGTAGTTATATCTCCTGGCTTAAGATGGCGTAAGAGATCTTAGTAATACCGAGCGGAGCATTAATCGTGCAATTCTCAGGAAGAAATATGCTACATAATATGGCATAATACGCTACAGTATAAAAGATATATGCGATATATCACCAATGACGTATAGAGAAATTTTTTGCCACTATAAATTGCAAAAAGTGATTAAAGTTTGAACGTGGTTTGCAGCGTTCGGGGATTAGCTTTTTAACATGCACGCGATGTGTCAGCGAAACTAACCCCGTGTTTGGAAAACAGAATTTATCCTCCTAATACATTTATACTCCCAGTTTATACTTTATATACTGAAATTCTGAAACTAAATTATTATTAACTTTAAGTTTTTCGAATACTGTGATGCAGTATACTTTTATTTGGATAGAATGCACTGCAAGAAATGTTATTATCCAGTAATCCAGTACAGTATATCACATTTTAACCTCGAAACTCTATAATGAAATATATTTTTAAACTGTTTTAGAATATTGTATTATATATTTATCAAGAAATAAGAGAGATTAATATCTATGGCATATATGAATACTGTGCACTATATGAATTATGTACGTTAATTATTAATTCCTTAATTCTAGTTGTTTGTTTAATGAAAATGTAGTGCAGTAATCTAGTATAGTATATCACATTTTAACCTCAAAACTCTATAATGAAATATATTTTTATACTGTTTTAGAATATTGCATTACATATTTATCAAGAAATAAAAGAAATTAATATTTATGGGATATATCAATAGTCTGTACTATATGAATTATATACGTTGATTATTAATTTTTTAATTCTAATTGTCTGTTTAGTGAAATTCTAGTGACACAATGCGCGCGCATATTACAAAATTAATCCCTAGTTGCTGGTTGCCATAGATGGCGCATCCTCAGCATGAAATTGTTCAAAATTTAATTACTCTTCTAACATACCAGCACTTTAGAATGACTGAAAAAGAATTTGCAAGCATTATAAGACTTTTTATACTCTCTCAGTGATAGAAACCTGATTTGCTACCATCAGAAATTAAGAAATTGTTCTATACTTCGTGCAAATTAGAAAGTTAATTAAGGAAATTAGTTTGTAATGCGTATAAAATTGTATTTCTCGCGAAATAGTTACAAAATTAGGTTTATAACGAAAACCGTTAGAGCAATCAAATAATGGGACTTATTACATGATCATACAGTCTAGAAAATTATAGACAGTTCTACCATCTTTCTAGAAAGCAATTTATGGTGACGTTTCAATTAATTAATCACACATAAATTAGATAAAATGAAATTTCAACTTCAAAGTGTCAAAAACAATCAATGCTTCAATTTAATAATTTGTAAATATGATAATACACTGTTTCAAACAAGGGAAAAGTAAACTGAGTATAGTGAATGTTATCAACTATGGTGGAACTACAATTGAGCGCTGTTTTTACCAGGAAGTTCATGACCCGTTTTTTCCAAGTCACTGGAGCAATTTCAATCAAATTTTGACTGGATTTTTTAGCCATGTTACTAAATAAATTAAATACAAAGGTTATTGTATAAAACTTTTGAAAAAATGTTGCGTGGTTAATAAAAAATTGTGTAAAAATTGATGAGTGGGCATTCTTTTTCCGTGACACGGGTATTATTTTTCAAATTCGTTCATCTATATTCAGTTACTTGTTAGGAATAATTATTAAATATTGGCTTGCCTAGATTCTAAAAAAAAAAAAATGAATAAAATATATCATTTTTCTTCCTGAAATGATGGTAATTCATTTAACAATCAATTTGAATAAGAGCTTATCTGATGAGAAATTCAGAAAGACCAGGAGCAAAAATGTGTCACGGTATAAGAAAGAGGTCACAAAGAAAAATCGGAAAACGTGTTTTAAAGACAAGAAAGAGATCATCTTGCTTGTGTGACAGGAATTCATTAATTACTCATCTCAGCAGAGAAATTCAGCTTTTAGAATAAAAACTTATGCATTTTTAGTGTCGAGAATTTAAAAAATTTTACTAAATTATTCGAAAAAATTTATATTATCGGAATTTGAATCTATTTAGTATTAAAATTAATTTCAAATGCAGTTTGCTAATTTAAAAATCACTGTTGGAATTCCATAGACCATGATGTCCCAAAAGAGTACAGAGAGTCTTAAATTACATTTATTTTTATAGCAATTTCTCAATTTCTATTCATTTTAATATTGGAACATTGAAATATTTTATTAGCATTATTGTTCTTAGGGATAGGGCTAAAGCTTAAATACATTTATAAATACATTCTAGGACTAAATACATTGAGGGCTTAAATGCATTTAAATACATACAAATATATTACAAATATGTTTATTATCCAATAAATATTGCAATCTAATATTTATTCTAAATTTATTCTCAATGTGTTTTACACGTTTATTCTATTAAATAAAAGGTGTTCCAAATTATTTAATTCCATGGACTGTCCTAAAATAAAGGAACGATCCTCTTTCATCGTATCAATTTTTAATTTTATCTTTGTAACATATAATATCTGTTATGAAACATTGTAAATTGGAATATGTCAAGGTTTGCCGTTTTTTGTCAACTTGGTTACGTTGCTGACATATTCAATACTTTAATGTTCCACCGAGTACAACTTTATTCTATAAACGTATCCTGAGCAAAGATAAACGACCAACTCGAGTGGAATATAATCGATTCATAAAATATTGTTTCAGCCATCGATGAATAAAATACATTAAACTCCGAGTCGTATTCAATTTCGACACAAATGGAATGTTGAAAATAAAATGCAAAAGTGAAACACGTGAACGGTTGATACATATTGTAAAAATTATGAAATAAAATGAAATTAAACATTTCCTGAGAGATATTTGAAAAATAATAATTTCAATCCATAAATGACAATTCGCTTTTGATAGATATCATTAAATTACTATATTTGATACTACCTGGAATCTTTTTCCAAATTATATTTATCATATACGTTATTTCGTACCTTCATTTTTATTTAAAAATCACTCAACTGAAATACATTGTATGAAGTCGTTAAAAAAAATAATGACTTTTTATTTTGAGAAATAAAAATTGAAAAAATATATGTATTTTAAAATTTTTTATGTCAAAGGAAGCTTTCATTATATATTCATTAGACAGTTGTTATAGTATCACTTTTACAGTCAGTAGTATAGAATTTCACGAATTATTATTATATATACCGTAATAATAAATCTCAATGAAGCTTTTAAAACTGCAATAAGCCAACATTGAGTTAAGCTCTTTACTGGAAATAAACAATTAATGGCACTTAAATGGAATCAGTGTTGTACGTATATACAATAAACGATTGGTCATAAGATAAATGAATAATCGTTAAAAAGAAAAAAAGTTTAAATCTCCTGTACAACATGCTACAGTATTAAATTTATTTAATTTATTATTCTCTGAAAGCATTCAAGTGTTGCTTTAAACATCGACATGATACAATTTTAATCCCATTTATGCCATATTCCAGCAGTTCGATAGTTGAATACATTGGCTTGAAAAATATTTAATACTCCAGAATTTTTATGAAGTTAATTAAAAATGTCTCTGTACACTGCCCTGGAATTTATTTATTTGCAAGGAGTTAATTAATATTTACCTTTGAAGTACTTCTCCAGTCTTTGTTTCAAGAAAGGTATTAAATTATTAAATACTATAGAGAAACATTTTCAAAAATTTCTTTCATTTATTTTTTAACAAATGAATATAAATTTTTCTATTTACATATATTAACAATATATATCATATTTCTATATGAAATAACATACATATTATCTATATTAATAGATATTATTATCTATATTAATCACATATTATCTACAATATTAATTAAATTCTAACTAGACCAGAGACTTTTATAACTGACTGTACATTGAACATAAATTATCCATCTCTCTACTTTCAATTTAAAATCAATAATAACTCTATAATAAACCCCAACAATGCGAATTAACTGTATTTAACAACTGCAACTGTAATGAGAATTCCCCCCATTTCTCCTTCATCCATAATTGATTCACAAACGTGGTATCGATTCATCAATAAAGAACAAGTGTACACGGAAGAAGAAGAGAAC